CACAGATTTACTATCAAGACAAAAGTTAACGACCAGATACCGTAGCTGATTTATTCTTGCTACTGATGCAAAATCAGATATCATCGCTAACAAGTTGACAAACTGATTTTATCTTGTTGTCTCACAGCAAAAAAAAGTGTAAAAAATCAAATAAGATGATAAATTAACAAACTGATTTCATATTTCTTGCAAACAAATTCAATCATGTGTAGGTCATCTCTGGCAGAATAAATATTTCCTTAAGAAAAATACGTCAAATTCTGTCATTTTGTCAACAAGCCAGGCTCACACTGTTCGATATATTACTGCTTACCAAGGCTCTGTTCCAAGGGTGTATTTTCAGTTTTTAGCATAGTTACAAATGTCAGTGGAATTTCTCTAATTTTAACTCTCTATCCCAAAGATCATTTTGGCCAAGACAAGTTCACTATTGGAACATGCATGGTATGCGTGGAGAAACATTACAGTATTTTATATCATAGCTGCTTTTTTCATAGGTTTGCTCAAAGCCATAATATCACATTTTACTCATTGACTACATTGTGGACACAGAGGATTTTACATAAATCTTTACGATAACGTCTGTGACAGCAGCCAAATGAAATCAATTTATCGTAACAGCTTATTTCAAAGTGAAAAGTGAAGCTGTGATCATCCTTTGCATTGCTCAGCCACTGACATACCATAGTTGCCACAGGAATGCACAGACACAGTTTTGTTTACAGTGGTATGTGGCTCACCTCTATATAAAGGCAATGCAGGGAATTTTTATTTATATAACACATTTCACCATAAGTAAACTCAGTGCGCTTTACATTAAAATGCACACAACAGGTAACACAAAATATGTGCATAACCTAGAGTATGTGTCCGCAGGATTTGGATTGATATGATAGCTAACATCAGGGGCAAATACTGCTAGACAAAACTGTGTGTAGAGGATATGTTGTGTCCTCAGATGTAGCTCTACACAGCAATGGATGGTTGTAGTGGACATTCGGGGTTATAGATTTTTGACTTGTGACTTTATGACTGTGCCTTTGACCTTGAGACTTTTTACTTTCACTTTTTACCAACAAATCAGTGGTGAAAATGATGCTCATTACCTACATAAACAACAGCTACAGTGATGTTGGTGAGTAACATGGAATTTCCCTTAAAGAATGGCCATTCAGCACAAAGAAGCCTTTTAAATTTCTCTACCTTTGAAGGACTTGAGTTTTAAACTACTCTGACTTCCCAAAGAAACACTAAGGCACTGTTCTGCTCTTACCCCGCACCCCGCACCCCACACCCCTCACAACTCTCAGCTACCCATCTCTCTCCCTGGTGTTTCTGTGGGTGAGAGGCTGTCACCAAGGGGACGGGCTGTCACTGTCACCATGGGGATGGGCTCCACAGAGCATCTCAATTACTGAGTGGGGCAATTAATAAGCATCAAAGCCTGGTTAATATTTCACCGGCGGCACAGAGCAGGAACCTGGGCCACAGCGCTCGGGTCCACGGGAGATGGATCATGGAGAGGTGGAGGAAGACAAAAGAGAACAGGAAGCAGAGAGGATGAGAATAACGGCGCAGAGACAAGAGAGACGGAGAGAGATGATGAGATGAGAGAGGCAGCAGAAGGGCGGAGGAAGTGAGAAAGACTGAGCTGAGGTGCACAAGCCTTTATGTTCATCTGAACAGCAGGAACTGTTCCATTTGGTTGGATTCTGGTCTGGGCCTCACTGTGGGTCCTGGCTTTGGTTTATGGCATCACACTGAGGAAGATTATTTTACTATAATATTACTATAATATTGGCCTCCACTCAGTTTCCCGTCATGCTGTTCTCAAGGTTTTGTTTGTAGGTGCGGTTTGAAATTATTTGACCGAACACATTCCTCCTGTGTTTCCTGGAGAACACTTTGTAAACTCCAAGAGCTGACAGCCATACTGAGCTAACGCAAACATGCTCACAATGAGGATGCTGATGTTTAGCAGGTACTATATAATGTTTACCCTGTTCACCATCTTAACTGTGTGTGTTAGCATGATAACGTTTGCTAATTAGCACTAAACACGAAGTACTGGCTGATGGCAATATCATCATATTGGATAAACTGAAACTTTAGCCTGATGATGGCGCTAGATGAAAAGTCAGAGGATAACCAAAGTGATTACGGTTCATCCTGCAGGGGTGAATGAATTTGTGTAACAAATTTACAAATTACATGGCAATCCATGCAGTAGTTCTTGATATATTTCTCTAAAAACTACAAATGTGGATCTCTTGGTGGTGATGGAGGAAAAATCAGACGATCATTAAAGTTATCAGGGTTCATCATCTGGGCACCATGAACCCCTCGTTAAGGAATTTCTCTCTGGACCAAACAGACAATCACTGTTGGCACTTCACCAGCATGGCTAAAGCATATATAAAGGTTATTATTAGTGCTGGCAATACGTTGATTAACAGAGAATTCATCAGCTACAGTTTTGTTTGATCCTACTCAGACAGCCTATTTATACTCCTCACATTTCCTTGCTGAGTCTGAACTTTACATCCTTCACTCCCCACTGGAGACTGAAGAGTAAATGACAGCACGAGCATCAAGTGGAAGCAGATGAAAGAGGAGTTTAAGGTAGACAGGCGAGGCAGGAAGACGAAGATGATGGGTAAATGAATGGAGGGGGGGGGGTTAAAGTGTACGGAAAGATGAGAGGGGAATCACTGTGGGGATAAGGGGAGACACGGGAGGCAGAAGTGTTGAGTAATGGAGTAATGAAGGGAGGAGGATGGAGGGGAAGTGGGAGGGACTGTCGCTGTGAGGCAGATGTATTGACGAACTGGCTGGATGATCAATGGGATGTGGTCAATCAACAGAGTGATCCATATGCTGACCTTACTCTGGGTGGCTGAGGGACGAGGTGTGTGTGTGTACCATTTAGTTTTGCTTTAGCCCATTATATCATATGCACTTCATCGATACATTAACAAAGCTTTCAGTTAGATTTTTTCAGTACTGCAGTATGAAAATAAGCTCCCTAAGACTTCAGAGATGAGATTAATTCATCACAATGAACATTTTGTTGCCTCTCTTTTTTATATTACATCATGGTCATAAGTTAATCCAGCTGAAGGCAGGGTCTGTATTAAAAAAACTCTGGTATTAAAGAGTCTTCAAAACAGTGTGACCGTGCAACAAGAACACAATTTGACAAAAGAAATTGTACTAATGCTGTGATAAGCACATTTCACATTCACTATAATGATCATATTACAAACGGGTTATTAGTCTCTGTGACTTTCATTTCGTGGTAGCAGAAACTGAAACCAATGGCTGACTGAAAGGTAGAAAATCATGAAGATGCTTTGCAGTGATGTGAAATATATGTTATTTGATTACAATGGGCTAAATGCAAAACAAGATATGTTATTCAAGTTATTCAAAATGCATGTCCTCAGCTCCCAGCATGTTTGTCCTGAGATCACCTTCATCTGCCTTTCATCTAATGTAAAGATGAAATAAAAACAAGATAAAAACAAAGCGCAGTGGAATAAGATCACATGCTACAACTGGGGACAGAACTCCCACACCCAAAACAACTAGCTCTTTATCTTCTCATGTGTCGATCCACATGTGTCCGAACATCACAGTCCCAGCGCAAATGAGATTACATGACAAAAAACCATAACAAATGAAAGGAACTTCAGTCTTTCCCACTGCTTAGTTACAGTAAGTGTATCTCTCAACATATAGCAATCAGGCTGTGGCAAAGTCTCTGAACAACCACACCGTTGTGTCTGCTTAATAATTATATTTCTACGGGATGGGGGGGGGGGGGGGGGGGGGGGGGGGGGGGGGGGGGGCAAGGGCACCTCCTATTTCTTCCAATCCAAAGAGGCAGGAGGAATGTGAGGAATTGAGGAAGGAGGACTACAGGCTGGACCTGAGGTGCCCAGATCAGATCTAATGCAAGTTCAAACAGCTCCCATATCACAGATAAAGGAAGGAAAGCTGCAGTGTTTCAGTGCAGAACACCAACTAGCTCTTCCATAGCTTCACATAAGTGACAGCAGAGGACAACATGGCCATGTCATTGTCCAAAAACAAACCAAGGTGGAGGACCGGGCAACACCTCAGCACAGAGACACACATGCAGTTTGACAACAGACAACTGAATTCCCAGCTAACTAACACACTGCTGTGCTGCCAAAGCAGGGAAAGAAGATGGAGGTGGTGATGATGATGATGATGATGATGGGTGTAAGAACAATGATTTACTGGATTTATCAGTGGAGAGATCATCCAACACATACAAGGTGAAACAAGTGCAAAAGCTTTGATGTGATTGATTTGAAGTGAGCATGTTTGTTACTGCAAGTGGCTGTTGCACAGATTTTAAATTAGGGAAAAAGAGAACAATGGTATCAGATTGGTGCTCAGTATCAGTAGATATATCCTCAAAGTAAGTTGTATCAGTGCATTCCTACTCATGAGCAAGGCACTGAACTCCCTAAAGCTGCCTATTGGCCATGCATTTGTTGTGAGCCTCTCAGGAAGGAATGTGTGCAAATATATGAATTTTGTGAAGCAGAAATTGAAAAAATTAGTCTCTTTACTGGAAGGATTGGTAAAAAAAAAAAAAGTGTGGTTTTGGTTGAATGCTCAATAAAACGTAAGCATGTCGTGGCGAGGGGCCGCTGGGAAAGAACATACTATGGACCAGTTTCACTGCACACTGCATTTTCTGCCCAGTGCCTTCAAGTAACCACAAGCTCAGTATGCACCACATCAAATATGCTATGCAGACAGTGAAGCAATAGGTTTGCTGCAGACCCTGAATGTTTGAGAAACTGGGGCCCCTGCTTGTCTCTGAGCCTGGTGTTTGTTATTGAATTTCATTTCACCTGCACAGGCACAGAATCTGACTGGAATTTCTGAGATGTGGCAAATGTATCGACATGCAACCCTGTGGCTTTCAGGACAACAAACACAGTGACACATCAAACACGTACCCAGTCTTCATAGTGCCTGGTTCCGTTCTGCAGCAGATCCTCCAGCTGGATAGTGCAGTTGGCCACAAAGTCATCATATCCGATGGGCGCATCATGGAAAACAGACAGCTCCAGACTCCTTCCCTCACGGACCTCAGTGCAGAACTCTTGGTGCCACGCAGGGCTGTTGGTCTTGGTCCTGGTGGCAGTCTGGCCCAGCCGGGTCTGGTCCAGGTTTAGGGCCAGGTAGGGGTCCAACAGGAAGGAACCGCTTTTCCCCACAGCATGACGAAGGGCCCATGGGGTGGGCTTCAGGTCCACTGCCTCACACACTCGCACCTTCAACAGGCCACTGAACACAGGCATGGCTGCAGGCTGCTGAGATGTGTGTGTGTGTGTGTAATGTGTGTGTGAAAGGATGAGGGTGTGTGTGTGTGTGTGTGTGTGTGTGTGTGTGTGTGTGTGTGTGTGTGTGTTTAGGCTAGTCTGCCTGTTCCTGCTCCTGTACACAGAGTGTTTCCTTTCAATGAGGGGTCACTGCACAGTCCTGCTACATCCCATAATGCCGCTGGCTCCTTGGACTCTCAGTCTAGTATAGCCATATCAGAACACTGTGTTATCCACACACACACAAACAGGCACACAAAAACACACACTGACACACACACACTCACAGTGCAGCTGATGGGTCCCTGATGGGCTGAAAAACGCAGTACTAACGCGGACTCACACCCTTCAGAGGTCGCTTGCTGAAAGCTCTCCCACCCGAGCGGCTGCCTTGTTTGTTTATGGTCGGTCCCGTGCGCCAGACAAGATTCCCGTATCGGCGGAAACAGGCCGGGATATAAACGTCTAGGAAGGGGGAATGCAGGTTAACGGGCTCCGATTAGGATCCCGAGCCTCCCCACGGTCCTTGTGTCTCTGTCCCGGGTCAGGGTGGGAGAGAGCGCGAGCAGCCGCGCCTAGCCATCCGGGATTGGTGCTCCGTTTCCAGCCCGTCTCGGCTCGCTTGGTCTTCGTTGTGATAAGCTCCTTGCTTCGATCTCACGGTACCGCGATATTTGAGCGTTCTCTCGGAGACCAATGCCTTTTTTGTGCACCCCCAATGCAGCGTTTTTCGGGCTCACGACCACCCCAAATACATCACGGAGCTGCGCTCCCGTTCGTTTTTTTCTGCTTTCGATCCTTGCGCGCGCGCCCCGTTTCCCGTCCCCTCTCTCCTGAATCCGTGAGTGAGCGCGAGCTGCAGGAAATGCGCAAAACGCGTCACCCGCGCTGCCGGGCTGTTGCGCCGGATGAGAGAGAGAGAGAGAGAGACTGTGTGTGTGTGTGTGTGTGTGTGTGTGTGTGGATGGAAGAGGTGTTTTTTTGAGCGCATGAGACGAGGAGGGGGATGGAATTCACCCGCAGGCATGGAGTGTGCGTGTGCGTGTGTGCCATGGCCAGACAGCCAATGGAGCCAGTCAATCAGTCGGTCCTTATGCATGGTCACAGACAGCATAGACACACACGCACACACGCACCCACACAAATACAGAACAAGAGAGTATGAAAAAACAGAACAAATGTTATAACCACACTCTTACAAGTTGCTGCAATCCTGTCTTAAAACATGACAAAATCGAGTTTCCATACATGCCTCTTGACTAATACAGCCACACTGTGAGTTGCTATAAGAGCATAACAGAGGTGTTTGTCTGTGTGCTCTGAGCAGCAGTGAGTGTTGGGCGCTTGACCGGAAGAGACAAAACTGCAGGAACTTCCTCAGGAACCCCTATCTGTTATTATTATATCTACAGCATCATATATCTGTATTAATCTGCATGGTATAGGCCTATTATGACACCTTATATACCTGTATGATCACATACCTATAAGTTCCGTACACGTACATAACCTACCTGTTTATAATGCCTGAGTCAAGTTAGTTTTATTTTTACAGCCCAAAATCACAGATATTCCTTCCCTATCTTTAGACCATATAACTAAAAGTATGTAAGTGTTTTTTGTATTTTTCGCACCTCCTGTTTGTGAATGTGGGTGGGCAAAACATAAGAAACCCTGCTCATTATAATGTAGTCCAATACACTACTGCAAACTACATCCTCATGAATAAAAATATATAGTTAAATGAATACTTGTCAATCAAAACTGCAGATTGTTGTCTTCATAAAGGCAGAATTTATGGCTGAGCTGGTGTATTGGATTGCATAAGATTTTACAGGTGTACCTAATAAAATAGCCACTCAATGTACATTTACATGTATTTCTATCTATCTATCCATCTATCTATCCATCTATCCATCTATCTATCTATCTATCTATCTATCCCTCATACAGACAAATGACCCTTTTCCAACATACACATGACATGACACATCTATGGCAGTCATCACCCTGATTGCTGCTTGTTTTGTTGCTTTGATGGTTGATTGGTCACAGTCACAATGAGTGACAAGTGGGTCGTCATAGCAACTGTCACTCTCCATCATGGCCTGTGATGTGAGTGTCCTCAGAAGTCTTAGTCACACACGCACAAACACACATGACTATAGAAGTTTATTGAGCTGCCAGTTAACAATACATAAACCTGCTGGGCCGTCTGACAGGCATCGTCTCGCCCTCATCTAATGTACCTTTAAATTGCCTTTTGAATCCTGCCCTCACCCAGGCAAAGAGCAGATACTCCGCCTCTTAACCAGACTTTATAGCTACACTGTATTAGCTTTCACTACATTGGCTCGCCCCACTGGCTTTCATCTGGATGCCATGTCACCAGTCGCCATCCCTGCTCATCTAGCTCAACTGGTCCTTCTAGTGCAGCTGCACTGTAATCACATGCAACACATTTTGTTCACAAAATACTCAGTTGTGAGGGTACTAATCAAAACATTGGCTTCAAATCTCACTGTCATTGTTTGTTCGACACATATTAAGGAATCAAAAAGCTTGTAACTTAATGTGGTGGAGTGAAACTTACAATATTTGTCTCTGAATTGTACAGGGGTACAAAATAGCAGAAAATGAAAATACTCAAATAAAGTACAAGTACCTCAAATTAAACTTAAATACAGTAGCTTATTTTCCACCACTGTAAGTAGCAGAGGTCTAACTTTATTCTGTGCACTGATGAGAGAAGAACATTATAATCCAACCTCTACCCGTAGACTACATCAGGCCTGGCCAGCTGCGCCACCTGGTGGCTTGCCTGACGTATGTGGCCGCGTCGATGGCGCTTCCAGGACGTGACGTCTAGGAACGCCGTGTTCACGTGCTCCTCGTAATTTAACGTTTCAGGAGTGTTCAGTGGTGGAAGAAGTGGCTTTTCCAGATCCTTTACTTGAGTAAAAGTATTAATACATCTAAAAATACTCCATTACAAGTAAAAAATCGTGCAGTCAAAATCCTACTTAAGTAAAAGTACACCAGTATTAATAAGTAAGTATTATCAGCAATTGCAGGCCTACTTTAAAGTTTTGAAAGAAGAGTAGCCTACTTGTTTTGCATAAAAATATTTCATGTGACTGATGCATTATAATAGTAATGTAAGCTACTTTACAGTAACTGCTATATATACATTGAGGTAGTTCAATCCAGTGGTTCCCGACCAAGGGGTCAAGTCTGAATAGTCACTGAGGTCATGAGATGATGAAAAAAGAAGTTCTGTTTTACAAATGTGTATTCATTTCTTTGGACTTTTCAGTGATCTTTGCTTTTTTGTGAAATATTAGATCACTTTATCCCCTTGAGCCTCAAATGATTATTTAAATGAGGAGTTTAGAGGGGGAATCACTCTTTGGTGGACCCTGACTGTACTGCTTTTTTGTAGAGTTACAAGGCAAAACGTTTGGGTAATATTGATTTATTTTATTATTATTAAGTGGGTTTTTTTTTTACAAGCAAAACTTCAACTAAAATGTGACAACCACCTACGGCTGTCAGATAAATGCAATTGGGTATAAAGTGCAACGTTTTCCGCTGAACTGTAGTGGTGTGAAGGTATGATGAATCAAGTAGTGATGGGCAGAGGGGGCCTGATGAAGCTTTGTGGCTTTCTTTCTGTTTGTGGCTGAGAAAAGATGAGACGCTTTCTGGCTTTAAACAAAGCTGGTACAGTGACATCTGGTGGTTTGCAAAACTTATAGCAGCTCTTCATTCTTGTGCCAAGGCACCTCATTGATTTTAATAGTTTTAATTTCATATGTGTGCAACATAGGTCAGCAGCCTAGGTTATTAATTCATCTGTAATACTTGAAGTGCGGCATTAAACATAGATGTTATTGTGCAAAATTTTACAATAACAATAATTATTGAATGCACTGTGCAAAAAAGCCTTGATATAATATATGTTTGCTGACACAAAATATAAATGTATTTTGTTAGAGTGATTTAGACTCATATGTAACATTTCATATCAGTAACTATGTGATGTGACTGGAGAAGGATATTCATTGGATTATCTTATTACTTTTATTACATTATAGCTGGTATCAGATGGAAATGTTCTCATAAAGGAAAAGAAAAATGTGTTTCCCATTTAGGCTCTAATGGCCTTGTTTATAATGTATGTACTGTGTGTGGAATGGTCTGGTGCAATGCCCAGTGACGGAGCCAGAAAATTTCCATAGGGTTTAGAGGAGAATGGAGGAAAATGAGGGCAGATAACAGCCAGTAAGTTGAATTTTATGTGTTTGTTTTTCGTAAATTAAACTTAATTTATTCTCTGACTATCCACCTTTGCAAATTTGACCTGTCTCTTGCAGGTGGCAGACCCAAAGTTTCTCCAGCAAAGACATTTTCCATCCCTGGATTTGAGACTTCTCACTCACAGGCTCAGTCACAGGCCTCTTGTGTCTTAAGGCTTTGGGGTACAGGCTACTTCTTAGTACACAGTGGGACCAGGGTGTTTGAAAAGGATGCTAAGTCAATTTTATGGAGTTCCCTGTGATATCCTATACCCCCAGATATCGAACAGTATATACACTCCAGAGATATTCAGCCACAGTTTCTGTGTAAAGACACGCTGATGGGAGGAAGCTGGGAGTGTGGAGGAGCAGGGAGACTAAGCTGAGGGAGATATTCAATCGTCACTGTGAATTGAATATCTGTGTGTTTTTTGGACTGTTGTTTGACAAAGCAAAATATCTGATCTCATCACCTGGGTCTATAAAAAATTATGCTAAATTTTTACTTTTTTTTTAATCAAATTTACACAAAAAAATAATTAAGAAATTGATAAGCAGATTTATGGATAATGAAAATTATTGTTTTATGTAGCCCTATGTAACTATAAAAATTATAGAATTATACTAGATGGAAAAAAGCATCAAATCCTCACATTCAAGATAGAATCAGAAAATGTATGCTTATACTTTCAGTGTACAAACACTGGGAATGGACTTGTGAAGTAGGACACATTGTGTGTATCGTTGTATTCAAACTTCTGAGAGTAAAAGTATTTGCATATTCATTCATTCTAGATTTTTCATTGAGGGATCAGGGATTTAACAAGGTGCCTGAACTTTTTCGTGGAAAAAGCACAGTATTTTTTTCTAGAGGGGATTTTAAACTTTTACATCTTCATACTCGATGTGTTATTATGAAAAACCCCTGATCAGTCATCATGTGCCATATGTGCCTGTCATTATATACACTGACATGCGCTCCTGCCCTGCAGTAACCCCGGCTTTCCAACCTTTCAACCACCTGACTCTTCCCCACCAATAATAATAATAATAATAATAATAATAATAATAATAATAATATACATACAGTATGGTCAGCAAATAAAATATGATGCATTATATGATAGGCTTAAGTAAATTTACTTTCCATCACTGTATATAGACACTGATTTCAATACACAGCCCTAGTCTTTTGTGTATTTAGTTTTTGTTGGTACAGTAAAATGAGAAAAATATGCACCAGATGACAACATACCCTTTCATGACAGCAGCAGTAGCAGGGCCTGTCCTGTCGCATGATTTTGTTACGTCTCTCCTCTGCATCTTGCTGGACTCTGCCGGGACATCTTCACCTCTCTGCACTCCTTCCTGGTTGAAGACGTTTTAGGATTATTCCTTTGAACTGACACTAAACATATCAAATGTGCAGTATGGAGGATCAAACCAGTTAGTGAATGTGCTGAATGTGTTGCTGGGACAGTTATGTCCTCTGAAGGAAATCAGTGATCTTTGCAGTTTAAGATGTGCAAAGAAATGCCACAACTATAAGTCAATTGCCCTTTACGCATATGTCAAAACACCAGGTATGTAGTCATCATCTAGCTTCTTCACTGAATCCATGCATGCTATCATTTGCGTGACAATACTAAACAGACTTGACAGGATCTACACTGGGCGGTGTTTCATCATTTGGAAACTGATTTCTTATTCTCAGGTATGGGATGGTGAAGAAGAAAGGCTTTTTCCACCCACTCATTTGAGGTTTCCACTCAGTCATTTATGAAGAAACATTAGCATGGGTGTCATTTGTGCTATTGCAACAGTTTCAATTCCACTGAGACTTTAACACTTACAGATAATTTTGAAACGTATTAAACTGTACGTAACAGGCTGCCGCCAAGAGAAGAGGATTTCTCTTTACCTGCTTGTTTTGTTCAGTTCAGTCCAAGCACACAGTGGACAAACGGCAGCGGATGAAGGAATCAGATCTTTAACATAATCATAAGGTGAATTCTGGCACACACACACACACACACACACACACACACACACACAGTCATTCAGGATACATATCCATACATATTATTATCATATATATTATTAAAAAAGAGTGGGCACAATAAAAGTCATAAATTAAATAATTTTATTTATATATAAAATACCAAAACATTTATTCAGCTTGAAATTGAACATAAAGTATGACGTATCATCACACACAGACTGAACAGTGAACTCTGTGAACTTTAAATAAAGTAGAAATGGAGGTAAAGAAACAAAGAAACAAAAAAACAAAAAAAATCATGAACTTACAAACAAACAGACAGGGAGGTAGCCTTCAGTGTGTATTGATTGTCTAAAGCAGTGGACATCCAGGGGTCCTTCAGGGGCTTCTAAAAAAACAACTAGTTCCATTAAAATGAGAGAAAATTATTATGTGGGGGTCCCTGAGTGAAAGTCCAACAGGGGTCCACAGCTTTTTGTATTTTTAATTAGGTCGATGGTGCAAGCTGGGTCAACACATGTGCACTGTCACCATCCAGTTATGTGGTTGGAAACAAAAATCTGTGGGTCTGAGGTGCAGCTGGAAATCACCAGAATGCAGGAAACGGAAATCATAAATCTTTTATATTATCTCTTATAATCTCAGGAAACAAAAGAAAAAGACCAAATATCCACGTAACTTGCGTTTACATGATCTGGAGTTATATCTAGGATGAAAACTGTTTTATGCCCTGAAAGTTTATTGCAACCCAAACCCTGACCGTACATCATGCTCCTCTCTCCGGTAATCCACGGCGGGCCATCACAGGCCTCTAAAGGTCCATTTCACAGATGAAAAGTCTCACACATCCAAGTCAGAGTCACTGTCGGTTACTGAGAGAAGAGTTTGTCCATCCGCGCGCTCTGCACTCCCGTCTGGACTGCACTCTCCTCCACTAAGTGCACGTGGACCGTCAGGACACATCCGGTGGTGCTGCAACCTGAAAGTGAAGAGAAGAAGAACAGACATTGAAGACAAGGGTGGAAATCCATTTTACTAAAATGAGATAAAATACAAGTAAAAATCAAAAAACAAAATTTCTCATATTGTTTTATTATTGTGGAAAAAAATAACAAAAACAAAACTATCACCTAAACCTAAATCTTGAAAATAAATCTTTTGTCAAAGGATAATAATAAACCATCTCTGTCATAACTAGTTGGAGTCTATGCTGCTATTTGCACCCATTCATGTAGGTTTTGCCTTCACTAACAGGGTGGTTGACCCGCACACTGACCCCGAAGCAAATTATAGTGAGAGAAAGGGGAAGAAAGATCAAGCAGGGCACTGTGACACAGAGAAAACAAAAAACCTACAAGCTGAATGGCCATGTGCTTTTACGCATGAATGGCCCTTTTACGCACAACCTTAGCTGCCTGTGGAGAGGAAATTGCTTCAACGAGTGAGTGACTAATAGTGCTAAGTAGGTGAGTGATCAATAGGGTGTAAAGATACATTTTGGACACATAGTGTTGTCTAGATTTGACAGTATTTTCATTCTATAACAAGAAAAATGTATTTGATTATTGGCTGTTAGATAACAGTTACTCTCCAGGGCAACAGGCGACGTGTAAGTTTCTTCCTGACACTCAATGAACAACTTCTTTCAGGTTGAGGTCACTGACCTGTTCTTGGCTGCTGCCGCCCGGTCTCTCTGTCTCCGGTTTTTGAACCAGTTCCCAACCTGAGTCGGTGTCAGCCCGGTGGCGTGCGCCAGCTCCCGCTTCTTCCCGGGGTTCGGGTACGGGTCCTGCAGGTACCACTCTCTCAGCAGCCCCCGCGTGCGCTCCTTGAAACAGTGCGTCTTCTGCTCTCCGTCCCAGATGGTCCTTGGTAACGGGAACTTCTTCCTCACGCGGTACTTGTCCACCGGTCCGAGCGCCCGCCCCCGCAGCTTCTCTGCCTCCCGGTAGTGAGCTTCGAGCCACATCGCCTGCAGTTTACCGTGCGAGGCACGCGTAAAGCGGTGCGTCTCCAGGATGTGATACAGCTCGCGGAAACTCCCGGTGTGGTAGGCCACCACGGCGCGAGCCCGCTGCACGGACTCGTGCTCAGAGATTGAGTCGCGGCCGTCTGTGGTCACCGGGAGCGACCAGAGGAAGCGGGCCAGTCGCTCGATGTCTCCGGTCTCCTCCAGAGTCTCACACACGGCGGCGATCTGTGCGGCCGAGAAGCACAGTCCCGGGAAAGTCGTGGGAGGGCAGGCGGAGGGAGGGTCCTCCGGGGACCGGGAGCGAGACAGGATGGAGGGCGCATCCGCCAAGTGCGGCAAGAGGAGACGGGAGGCTGAGAAAAAGTCGAGCGGCGATCTGAAAACCATCTGGACAACTGAGTGGAGTCCGAGGGCAGACGAAGTGAGTTTCGGAAACAGTGTGACAGAAATCTGTTGAAGTCTGACTCTTTAGCTCACCTGGGAGTCAGGGAGGGACTTTGACTCTGACTCCTCATTGGACACCCTGGAGCTGATGCAGGGTTGTCATGGCAGCACTGTCAATCAAACAGAAGATTTGTCTTCCTTCCTTTGTACACAAGCCGAACACATTTAGACTTTTCTAACTGCCTTTCTAATGTTAACTATTTCATAAAGCAGGAAATAGATGGTTTTCCAAAAAAAAAGAAGTAATTTAAAAAATGAAGGGCCACTTACTTGCCTTTTCCAGAGCTCTAGAAGAGATGAAAGGCCACATGAAAATGAGTGGAACTGATGAAGAAATATCACAGTAAATTCAAATCGGTACAAGCTGACCAAAAATGGCATCATTAACAAAAGAAATGTCAGGATTGACATTATTTTATTTTAGCTCAGGTTTCAGGCTTAGTGTGGTCCAGAAATCTTCAGATAGACAGAGACACATTAAACAGATCGATCTCCTGCTGAACCATGAAGGAAGGAAAATAGTGGGTCCATATAGGCTTATTTAAAAATCCTCATGACTCTATATACTTAGATAACTAATAGTATTTTATTTCAATGGGTGGTCTGTTAAAACTGTTACCTGGTTGTGTGATGGGGAAAAAAAACAAGTAAGTGAACATTTATTTCTATTACATTGCTGTGAGGTAAATTTGTTTGGGTTGTAAGATGTTTGATGGGGATAGGCCTTCACTGCTGCCAGTTTTTCAAATTAAAATCAGTTTAATGTTGTTTCATCTCTTGTTTTTTTCTGCATCACAAAGACCATCAGCGATGTTGTGCACTCAGATACAACACTACAAACCTTAAAGACGACAGAATAGATGATCGATAATTATAAACCGACAAGTGAAGGCCCCGACATTTCAGGATGATGGGTATTTGGAAATGAGCGCCTGACCAAACTGGACTGAACCAAAATGACATCACTGTCTGCTATCAACTAAATCTCATAACCTCCCCGGTCCTGGCGGTAAGCTGCTTGCATCATTAATAGCAGTAATGTGGACGGTACCCGGTGTGATTGGAAATCTCACCCCGACCTGAAAGCGTATGTTTCTCTAAGTGGTCTCCCGCCACTCTAATCACTTTTCTGTTCTCTAATATCCATAAGTTCAGAGATACTAAGCCACGCTCCAGCTCCATTCTGTTACCTTGGATTAACATCAGGCCTATACAGCCTGCTAACATTAGTCTAATAGAGCAGCATATTCAATCAACATTAACACATTTTGGTTGCCCTGGGCCATATGCTTTGGCGTGTGGCACCCTTTGTGCAGCATTAGGATGTGTGTATGTGTGCAGCTCATGTGTAAAATATGAATATAAATTAGATATTTTTTGGTTCACCAAACAAAATAACTTCCAACAAACAAAAAAAAACAAACAAATTTAATACTTTTATCATGTACCATCGCATCCTGTTTTGTCACACACACACACACATGCACTCATCCAAATGCCCCGGTGCAGATGTGTTGGGCGTGAAAAAGGGGGTCACCCAGCTTAAAAGGGTTAATGCCAATTACCCCAAGAGACAGATGTCCCTACATGGTGGTTTGTGAGGAGTTTCTGTGCCAGTTTTTCACCCCGGATGATGCATACGGTTCATGCAGGGCAATCTCTACTTGTTTTAGTAAATCAAATGAAATAAGCTTTACAATAATCATAACACATTATAATAAAGTTCATGAATATGGTGCAAACAAACAAAAAACAATAAGATTAACAAAAAAATCAAGTGAAACACTGAAAATCTTAATTAAAATAGGAAGAAAAATTTGTAAAAAGGGCAAAATGAAGTACCAATGTAAACATATATATATATATGTATATATACATATATATATATAATGTGTATACACTTGTACACATTTGGAATGACATTCTTACAATTAAACTGTAGGAAAGCCCTGTGATAAGAGTGGGTTTTGGCACTGAGGCTGAGGTGCCCTGAAAGACGCTTTGTCCCCTTTAGTTTTAAAGACCGCCTCTGATGAAGGTTTAACCTTGTTAGCATGTCCATAGGATGTTTTTTATATAATACAAGACAGATCATGTGCAAAATAAATAGTCAACGCCATGACTGTATATTTCCACCTTGAAACTGCAGTGAACCAATGACAGTCTCATAAAACAGATTCAGACAACCAGGGTTACATACGCCATATAAGTAAGGAACCAATCCCTTCAACTTGCGGGGAAAAGGGGCGTACAAAGTAAATGCAAAACCTAGTCAGTGCAGAGAGAGAGAGAGTCTGCATTAGCACAACCACTAACACTGTGTCAGCCACTGTCAGACACAAACTACAATGATAGAGAGAAAATTGCGCAACATTGTCTCCAACACTTCTCACTCATCGCTATGGTAGCATCAGTGCTCACAAGCTAGTGAGTAGCTTGCCTGTGCTAGCCTCATTAGCACAGTTTATGTGACGTTGTGTCATAATGTGGGTTTCCATCCATGTGTTTTTATGTGTATTTTCAATTCATGAAAAAGGCAGTAAAAGTTTTTGAGGTGAAAAATTCTTGTATCAACCGATGCAAGTCCACTTTATTGTCATTCATCCACATACAAACAGGGGAAAAATTCAGCTGTTCACTCAGTGGCTCTACACTGTTAAAATTACTGCACAAACCAAGAAATAGTCACAAACAAAGTTGATTAAAGGTGAATTAAAGGGATTTGCAGATGCATTTTGCAGCCAAGAAAGCCGCTCCAGTGTCAGTTCTGTTTGTCTAAATCACACACACATTCACTCTGAGAAGCTCATCCTGTTCTACTTGAGATGCCTGAGTCCACAGAGGATCGCAGCATGTTTCTGTGTGTGTTGTAACAGCAGAACAATGGGCAAACACACACACACACACACACACTCACTCAACAGTCTCCGAGCGATAGTCATGGCCAGAGCTCCCTCAAGTTGAAAAGACATTCCTCTAATCGAAGCAAAGGACACACCAAACACACTCAAGGAAACACACTCGAGGTGTTTGTGTGTGTGTGTGCGGTTGTGATGAGGGGGCAAGTGTGTCATAATGGTGACAATTAAGTTAATTCAGCTACGTCTCCTTTCAGCTACAGGACAATTAGCAGGTAGGAGAAGGAAAGCAGAGCTGGCTAAAAGAAGGTGGATGACACATCCCGGGTGGTTGGAGGAACACAGCGAGGAAGTGAATCGCCTCTGCGTCTCCTTATCCCCCGTAAACAAAAGCCCTGGTCCTAATTAACCTCTCCACAACTTAACACTGACCCCCTAAGCCCTGAAACTTTAACCCCCTCACCCTGCCTCATGGAAGAGGCCGTAAGGCCCCCCCCCCCAGCTCCCCCCAAAGCCTCCTCCTCGTTAAGCCACTAATCACTTCCTGAGTCTTTATTGTGCTTTTGTGCTCTTACAGGGCTCCAGGAGAGTCTGGGACACAATGGTACCCTAAAAAAAAGGAAGGAGGGGGTAAATTGTAGCAGACCGAGATGGATGAAAATTGAGATGTAGAAAGTGGGAGGACAGCGCTTTTTCTAACCTGACCCCAAACCATCAGAGTGTCAGATAGTTGGTTAATCAATTAGTCGGCCGCCAGAAAATTTATCTACAGCAATTATGATAATCATCCCTCTAAAGCTCACTAATTAACATGTTTTATCTTGTTTTAATTGAATTGAATTGAAAAAATACGTGACAGATTGTTAGTCTTCCTCATCTTCACACAGAAGGAGAGCTGGCTGTGGACGGATGTTTGTGGCAATGCATTGAGCTGTGTGTGTTCACGTGTGTGTGTGTGGTCACCATTTGACCACATCGTGACCTCTGTCACAAAAAGCCGAGGAGGACAGGTAATCAAGTAACTGTACCTGAGCAACTAATCCTGCACCCTCATTGGTTTGTAACCTGATACCTGGAAGTTAATCCTGCTGTTTTTACTGATGCGGTGCGAGTCCAGCTGTGTGAGTCCTGACACAGCTGGAGAGGAGAGGTTCTAGCAGAAAATAGCGGCACACGCACACAAACATGCATACACGTGTAAACACATAACCAGGTCTGTGCCACACAAACACGCACACACAGATGCTCAGAAGTTAAGCGTCTACACACGACAGATGGATGACACAAACATTAAAGCACAAACACCTTACAGATAGATGAATAAACAAAATACTCAGATAATTTGACTAATAATTTCTAGGCTGCTTTAAACCTATAGATTAAGCCAGCTAGGCCAGATGTAAAGACATTAATTACATCATTATCCTTTGTGTTGTTAGTGTCATCTCACCACTCGGGTGTTTTTAATTAATAGCTTGAATGAGACAAACAAACACCAGCGACCAAAAATACAAACAGCTGGAGCCTGAACAAATGTCTGGCTGTTACACACACAGTCATACAGATGTAACGACATACACACACACACTCACACACACACACACGCATACTGAACTAAAACCCACAGCTAACACATGAACATCCTCCGATTACACAGACTCATGTAAACTCGCTGGGTTAAGAGGAAGAGAAGAAAAGGAAGAGAGTGCGTCAGATTAAACTTCTTCACTTCCTATTATTATAGACATTTTTTCTGTGAGCTGTTGAAATTGAGTGAAAAAAAAAAAAGAAAAAAAAAAGTGCACAGTTGTTCCCTAACTCTAATGCAGGTTTCGCTTCGAAAATTTGACTTGGTGTTTTTCAAACCGTGTCGGTCTACCTGTGGTTTCTAATAAATCTGGAAGTGACATAAAATAAATAAATCTATAAACCATCTGTGGAGTCAGGATAGTTTGTTGAGGTGTTCAGACGGGGCTAGTACTTTAAGATTATTCAACACACCATCAAAGTAGCAAAGACCAAAAGAAGTAAAGTAAAAAAAAAAAAAAAAGATTTGCACATCAAAACTAGACATGTACAGTTTTGTCATGTCACTGTGACAAAACTGAAGTGCTGCAACATAAAAGAGAAAACA